GAGCTGTGATCATCAGAAAACAGGTAATTATTTTGATAAAGAGTTCACAATCAGTTTGAAAATGTCTTCGGTAAGGAAACGATCGATGTCTGGGCCATGTACACTGACTCCTACTAAACGTAAAAAATACAGTTGTAAATACCAAAGTACATGGGAAAAAGAATTCCAATTTCAAAAGTGCAATCTAGGAGAAGATTGGGCTTATTGCAAGCTCTGTCAGATTAATTTTTCAATTGCTTCTGGTGCATTGTACGATGTGAAACGCCATGCAACTAGGTCAATTCATGTGAAAGCAGAAGAGGCATCAAAATCTTCAAAGAGTATTGTTAGCTTTGTTGAAAACAAGACGTCTTCTAAAGTTATTCTGGCTGAAACTCTGTTTAGTAATTTTGTAGCAGAGCATAAAAGTTATCTTATACTCTAAATCAGTAGGGAGAGCAGTAATCATCTTATTTGTACATCAGTAGGGGGCCCAGAGGACACTTTATATTGTACATCAGTAGGGGACATCAGTAGGGGAACCAGAGGTCACCTTATATAGTGCATCTGTAGGGGGACCTGTGGTCACCTTATGATTAAAGTAATTCCCATTTTCTTGTTTACTTGTTCTTTTAAACATCGATGTCTAAAAATTTGGGGACTATATTGTTACTCAACCCTCGAAAAATGTCGTCACGCGCTATGACCCAACATTTCATTTCTGAATGTTGGGTCATGACCCCCCACAGCATCAATTTTGGTTGGCAGGTCTGTGCCTGTGAAAGGATGTTGTTGGAGATTTCAGATTTATTTTGAGTATGCCTTGACATCAGGTACAAGAAGTAGGTTCTATTTACATAATCTCTATTTTACCTTCCTTTGCCAGAAATTTTGAATCAATTGACTCAGTTGCTTTCAGATTTCATAAATTTGAAGAAGCCTCAAGGTCATTAAATCTTATTGCCTTTTTGTCCAACGTTCTTGTAAACTGAATTAATATGTAAAGTTTGCATCATCAAAGAAACAAACTTGAATCTACACTATCTGAGGATGTTTCCCCATAAGTTTCATCTTTCCTGGCATACTGGTTCTTGAGAAGAAGATTTTTAAAACATGCCACCAAATTTTCATTAATTCCCAATTATCTCCCCTTGAATGAGGACGTGGCCCTTCATTTGAACAAACTTGAATACTCTTCACCCAAGGATGCTTTGTGGCAAGTTTGGTTGAAATTGGCCCAGCGGTTCTTGAGAAGAAGTCGAAAATGTGAAAAGTTTACAGACAGACAGACGTGACAAAATGTGATCAGAAAAGCTCACTTGAGCCTTCAGCTCAGGTGAGCTAAAAACTTGGCAAAACACTTATTTAACAAAAGTGAAGTCAAGGTCAAAGGAGAGGTCAAGGTAAAAAGTGTTGATGCGGTTAAATAGCTTCTATTAGTATGCATCAGCATATGAAGTTTGATAAAAATATATTGGATAGTATCTTTAAAACTGAGCTAAACACTCATTTAAGAAAAGTGAGGTCAAGAGAAAGGTCAAGGTCAAAAATATTGATGCAGTTGAGTAACTCTCATCAGTATGTTTCAGTATATGAAGTTAAATAAAAATATCTTGAATGGTATCACTGAAACTGAGCTAAACACCCATTTAAGAAAAGAGAGGTCAGGGTCAAAGAAAAGGTCAAGATCAAAAAAATGTTGATGCAGTTGCATAGCTCTCATCAATATTTATCAGCCAATGAAGTTTGATGAAAATATCTTGGATAGTTTCTTTGAAACTGAGCTTTGAACAGAGCTAAATGAAAAAGCTAAATGCAAAGTGTGATGGAAGGACAGATGGAAGGACAGAAGACAGACATGACAAACACTATATGCCCTGGGCATATTCATGGCAGGGCATAACTAGAACTGTCAAAACAGGACAAAATACCACATGACACACCCATTGATTATGAGCAATCTTTGTGTGAAATTAGAACCTACCAAGTTTATCCATAAGAAAGATATGGACCGGTCACGAATTATGAAATTTTTCTTCCAGTGACCTTGAAATTCCCCAAATGACCTTGATTCAAGGTCAGGACACACCCTTAGGTCAGGAGGAATCTTTGTGTGAAATTAGAACCTACCAAGTTTATCCATAAGAGTGGTTCTTGAGAAGAAGTCGAAAATGTGAAAAGTTTACAGACAGACGTTTACAGCTCAGGTGAGCTAAAAATGTGTGATTTTTTCTGTTGACATACGCTTCTGTTTTTCTTATGTCTCCCATCTTAAATAATATGGCGACCTATACATTTTTGGAAATAATTGGTAAATTTAAACTTTATTAAATGAAAAAAATTTCAATATTTGTACTTTTAACCATTAAAATTGTAAGGGTGGACAGACCTTAAATACTTGTATAATACCCAAGAACAGCAAAGATTTTCAAAGAGACATAGCACTTTCACTAAATGATCTATATAGCCCTGTCCTAACACTAGAGCCCCTGACCCAAAGGCCATGAATTCCACAATTTTAGTACAGCGCTCACTGATCATTACAATTGTGCCAACAGTTTGACTGCTTCATGTCCAGGTGTGAAGATTTTTAAAGATTGCATTAACTTTGGTGGTTTTAGCCTGACCCCTCAGGCCCCAGGGGGGCAGGGACCATGAAATTCAAAATTTTTGTTCCCCTTTACCCATAGATGCTGTATACCAGATTTGGTTGAAATTGGTTCAGTGGTTCCAGAGAAGAAGCTAAGAATGTTAAAAAGTTTACGCCTGATGAATGACGTAAAACAACAGATGAAAACAGATAGCAATAGGTCCCTAAACAAGAGGCCCATGGGCCACATCGCTCACCTGAGAAGCTCTGACTATTCCATTCTTTACCAGATTTCCCCCTTGTAATACATACCGTAAAACTGGATTTTTCTACGGGGTGCTATTTTTTGCGAAATTCTGCGATCAAGTCTTAATCGCAAAAAATTCAATCGCAAAAAATACGTTAATAAAATCTGGAATTTTCAGTTGCGATCATCAAAGTTCTACTTTTACAGATACCGGAAGTATATGTAAATAATGCCATTGCACGTTTTCAATCGTATTTTAAAGGTAATTTACTTGATATCAACAACAATGATTGTTTTTCGAATAAATAAAACGAATTCCTAAAGATTCAGTATTTATTTGTTCCTACATTGTATTTCATGATTTATGTATATGAAACCCGAATAGCAAATGTCGGTTTGGCTATTCCGCGGCTTGATCGGGTCCTTCACCAGTGTTTACCAGATTTTTCTTAATCGGTATTCTGTTCTTGAGAAAAGAATTTCTTGTGTAATATTTCCCCTACTGGGATTACATAAACTCTTTATAATCATAAATGAAAGTTCATAGTCTATGGGAACTTACTAAAACGAACTTTTATAAATTAATTTCAAAGAATTATCGTCTCGGTTTCAATTCAAAATAATTGTGACTTTGTTTCTAATTTACCCTGTGAATGATAACCCATTAATTATAACAACACACCGGATGACCCACAGGTGTAGTGTCATCTATGTAAACACCCAATTAACAGCTCAGGGCCTTCATTGTTTCCAATTAAGTCCAGACTGCATCTATTTTACGCTTGATTGGCATGTATACAAGCGCAATCAACACTTCGAGAGATAGAGAGTAAAATTCAAAAAAATATGTGTAACGGGACCCAGGTTTTGGTTTGAGAGATAGAGAATTTCGAGAGATAGAAGTTCAAGAGATCAGGAGTAAATTTGCTTAGTTATATAGAGGAAAACACGGGACCGGAGGTTCACTTCGAGAGATCAGAGTTCAAGCCATCAAGAGTCATCTGTATATTAAATTGCTTTGGTTTGTTCAGTAAAAAATAAAAATAGACTTTATTGTTTAAATGTCTAGCAATAAAATTCAATAAAAATAGACTTTGTTGTCAAAGTGAAATCGCAAAAATTAAAATCGCAAAAAATAAATATACCTATTTCAGGATCAAATCGCAAAAATTTGCACCCGCATTAAAAACCAGTTATACGGTATTATGACCCCACCCTACCCCACTGATCATAATTTAGACAATTTGAAATCTACACTACCATAGGATGCTTTGATTCCCCATTGTAAACTCTGATTCCCCATTGTGGCCCCGCCCTACCCCCCGGGGTCATAATTGGAACAATTTAGAATCTACACTACCCCAGGATGCTTCCACATAAGTTTCAGCTTTTCTGGCCCAGTGGTTCTTGAGTAGAAGATTTTCAAATATTTTTCCTACATTAATTTCTATATGTAAAATTTTGATTCCCCATTGTGGCCCCGTCCTACCCCCGGGGGTCATGATTTGAACAATTTAGAATCTACACTACCCCAGGATGCTTCCACATAAGTTTCAGCTTTTCTGGCCCAGTGGTTCTTGAGTAGAAGATTTTCAAATATTTTCCCCATATATTTCTATGTTAAACTTTGATTCCCCATTGTGGCCCCGCCCTACCCCGGGGGGTCATGATTTGAATAATTTAAAATCTGCACTACCCCAGGATGCTTCCACATAAGTTTAAGCAGTTCTTGAGAAGAAGCTTTTAAAAGATTTTTCCTATATATTTCTATGTAAAACTTGCATTCCCCATTGTGGCCCCGCCCAACCCCTGGGGGTCATGATTTGAACAATTTAGAATGTACACTACCCCAAGATGCTTCCACATAAGTTTCAGCTTTTCTGGCCCAGTGGTTCTTGAGAAGAAGATTTTCAAAGATTTTTCCCATATATTTCTATGTTAAACTTTGATTCCCCATTGTGGCCCCGCCCAACCCCTGGGGGTCATGATTTGAACAATTTAGAATCTACACTACCCCAGGATGCTTCCACATAAGTTTCAGCATTTCTGGCCCAATGCACACCTCCTAACCTTATTAGCATAAATCGGAAGAATTCAGAGATAGTCGTAATAAAATATGAACAAAATCCGTAAAAGTCCAAACAGCTTTCCTCGCGAGAATTCAACGAGACCAACATGGCACTGGTGAAAATCGAGAGAGAAATTCAACATGAAAAAAGAGGTAAAACTTTATGTTTTCTCGATTTATAAGGTTTCTAAATTGCAAAAAGTTGCAAAACAAACATTTCTGTACTTAAAAAGAGAAAAGTAGGTATGCAGTTTCTCATTCTGTCAAGTGTTATTGCACTTTAAATTGTCAAAACAGCACCTCTCGATTTTGTAAACATGTTTCCACGTGGAAGGGAGTAGTTGTCGGTTAAGCTTAACCCACATGCATTGATTTAATAAGCAAAAGCACACGTAAGTAGAATTTTATTATTTTTTTCGATACTACCTGTAGCACAAAATGGCTAAATATTTTAGGGCATGTTTGTCAAATGCTGTTAATAGCATGTCTTAAATTGAAGAGAAAATGCAGGTGTGCTATAGTCCGTACCTACTTATAAGGTAGTATACCATGCATGCATGTGCAGAGTTACACGTATAAAAGTCATTATTTTTACTTATCAATGCCCAGTGATTTGTGAGAACCATATGAGTGTTTTTTAAATACCAAGAGACTAAAATTTAATTCTATCCATACTCGTGTGTATGCACAAGTATTTCTTCCGAATTTCCTCTACACATATACATGTTTACCTGGATAAAGGATTAAAGGTTTGTTTACATTTGTTTGCAGGTTTTATAGTGTCAGCTGTTTATATAATCATGCAGTTTTCACTAGAGCCTACTGATCAAAAATTGGTTGTTACTTTTCTAATTTAATAATTAATATCATAGAATTTATAATAATCATGCAGATGATGTCAATGCAGTCAATTGTCAAATACTTGTGAAACTTCATATATGCAGTTTATGATTTTTTAAAAATATTTCTATGTGTACCACTTTTTTCGCTTTGAAAGTATTGCCCATCTAAAACTAGCTAATGAGATGTATAAATATAAAACTAGAGGTACTTTGAGCAATGAGCTCTGACACTAAATGATACCTGCCGCTTCCAGTATGAATATAATGATAGTGTCCATGTTTTGCTATGGGGAACCCAAAATATGTGTTGGATCAAAAAGTAAATTAATATCTCGCACCTCAGATCTCCAGATTTCCGCATTATTCCGCATTTTTTCCTCATTTTAATTATGGAAAAAATGTGGAAAAAATACAGAGAGAATTAGCAATCCGGAAAAGCAGAAAATATGCAGAAATAATCTGGAAAATATACGGAAATAATACGGAGAATTGGACTTATTCTATTTTTCATCTGGAAAAATATTTAACTCTTAACTTAGAAAATTTTTCATCTGGAAAAAATACGGAGCTCTGGACTTCAGCAGTTCTCTGTTTCTCCTAAATGTTATGTACAATTTGATCGGGATCGAAAGAACGTTTCAAAAAGTCGGGCTCAGTGATCAATTAATTTAAATAACAGACCGCCAAAATTTGACCTTTGGCTTCCATGTTGTAACGTCTGCACTGTTTTGAAGAGGAGGTTTGTTGACCAGGAAGCATGAGATCGTATTGCTGTATCAACCAATAGATGCAGATACACGTATTTCATATACAGTAGGTCAGTCATATTTTTTTTTAATGTGTGTCAGTGATGATGAAAATAAAATTGCTCTATAGGCCTAGGACTGAACTACCAGGCTACGTTCGTTTCAGCCAATATGCCCATGACTGACATTATTCAAACAGCTCAAAGAACTTAATTATGATTAACCACAATTAAAGGTGTTAAATTGATTTTGGGGAGCCATGGGCTGTAATCTCTAGCAATGATTTACCATACATTTTATTTTGGTAGCGTCTGTGCAAAAGGAGAAGATTTTCTGAAAAAGAATAAGTGGTTATTCAACTTACTGCGATTTTAACAGGCTTAAAGCTGGTTCATGGATGGTTATGTATGAGGTATATATATTCTTTTTTTTTTTCTTTTTTATTGCTCGTTTAATTAAGAACAGTCAACTATGATTGTCATTATTATAAATATTACTTTAAACAAATTGATATAAAATTGAAGAACCCAAACTTGTGTTTATAAAAAGATTATAAAAGGAATAAAAGCAATTAATTTAAATTTTATTAATATTGCACCATAATTTAAGTATTTTTTTTAACTTATAGGATTTGCCAATTCGACCGCAAGTGCAGCTGCAAGAAATTAAACATGCAGTGACCTTAAAAATTACAAAGAAGTCTGAAGAAAATTTTTCTTGGACAGATGGGTGTAAAGCACAGACCTGAGATATAAATTGAATATTGTGAGAAATATGAATCAGGAATGCAGGTAGAAAATGGCAAATGTGATCCAGATTGATAAAAAATGTCTATAAAATTGCTTTTTTTTTTGGTAAATATTCAATGCTAGCTATGTCAATTGTTATTTTTTCCCCCAATATCTAAAAGTGTTGAACTTTTCACTACCACTTTTGCTTTTATAGAATGAATAGATTTCCATTTAATTTATATGTATAAAAAAATGCCACATTCTTATTTTTTTTCATGATGAATTTGTGGCTTAATAAGATTTCAAACTTTTTCCATACATGCTCCTCTGTTTGTTTGTCAAAGATATAAGATCCAATACATTGCTCATGTCCATAATGTGTAAATTTTTCATTCATTTAAATGTTTTTCTCATAATGGTATAATAAATTGTATATAATTTTGCACATTGTTGATGGTTTTGTAAATGTATGTATGCATCATGTAGCAGTTTTTAGCCATTTTATAACCATGTGATTAACTCTGTATTTTCTCCAGATTTCTGTATTTCCGCATTTCATCAACCAAGTAAATACCTCCATATTTTTCATATATGGAAATGCAGAAATCTGGAGAGAATATGGAAAAAGAGTCCAAATACTCCCATCCATATTTTCTCCATATTTTGAATACGGAAAAATCTGGAAATTTGAATCTACGGAAATCTGGAATGAATGCGGAAAATTAGTCCAAATACTCCCGTCCGCATTTTCTCCTTATTTTGAATATGGAAAATATATGGAGATCTGAGGTGCGGGATACCCTCCCGCTTTTCAAGCGGGGGTATAATGAATTACAGGTATGCATCAATCTGTACATGTATATGTAAAAGATTTTGCTTAAGATATTCTCTGTCGATGTAAACATAATTTACGTTGAAGTTTTGCACTTTTCTTTGCAAGAATACATGTATTTATAATTAACATATTTTTAAATGTTTTTTGATGAAAAGTATTTTTTGTTTGTTTGTCTATTGCAGGTTTGAGTACATCTTGAACAGCCATCTCCAGGTATGGCAAAAATAACACAATTGACCCTATTAGGTCATAAACAAACATTATTGAATTTAGAAAATGTTTATACATGTAATGTAGCACAAATATGAAATCATTGTAGGCCCAGGCTAGAAAAAATTTTCTTTCACTGCTCTTGCACTCAGGCCTTTTTACTGGTCAGCTCACCATAATATCACTATCCCTTTAGGCTACTAGATTTTCATAAAAAAGAGACTGACCCAAAACCATAATAATAATAATGATAGATGTAATAGTTATATTTTGTTTATATATTGTGATACACAGTTGGACATGTAATATAAACAAAACAGGATTTCGAAATGACAGAACATTTACACACAAGCCTGTCAAGTTACTAGCCCAACTATAATTGTATTTTAATTTTTGTTATACACAGAACTGAGCCAAAAGACAGATGCCCCCTACCATGTACTAGCCTAGGTAAAAAAAAATTCACTGACCTCAGTCCAGTGGGCTTTCAATTTTTTTTCGCCTTGCATTGTTAAGTCATATGGCTATTGAGACATTCTGTCCTTTTTTGTTGTTTGTTTTTTAATGATATGCATCATCCCACACAAATTACACACACAAGAAAATATTTTTTTCCACTTTTAAAATATGGGCTTTACTGATCTTTACATGTATACAATGTATGTCTTTTCTTTTGGAGAATGACATTGTTTATTGAATTTAAAAATGATCTTCCATATGTATGCGCATGATACTGTACTAAATGCACAAAAATTATAATTTCATTAAAATAAAACAAAAAAGCAAACTTATATTAAGAAAAAGAGTATCAAATCAATTCAACTATAATGTGCAATGAATGTTTCTTACAGGATATACTCTGAAGACAGTGATGTGAAAGTTCAAGGTTTGCCTGTTGTGAGTATTGTACATGTAACTGTAAGGATAAGTTTATAGCATCCCAAGTACTCCAATATCTACATGTATATCAATGTATAAAAGAATCCTGTGTAAAGTAAAACTGTATACAGGGTTATTTTCAATCCGGGTAATTTTCGCCCTTTTGCACTTGCAAACAATTTTGCCCCATTCTTAATTCGCCCAGTCAACATGTCTGTTTAAGAAATTATGCTGTGTAATTTGAATTCGTCCTGTTTTAAATTCGCTCAATCAGGAAGAGGGCAAAAGGGGCGAAAATAAAATGGGGGCAAAAATTTCCCTGTATACAGTATATATTTAGCAAGAGAGAGAGAGATGTTGATAAAAAGGGTCAATATAATTTAAATTCATGCATCTGTGATTTTTGTTTTTGAAAATGATCTTCCATATGTATGCGCATGATACTGTACTAAATGCACAAAAATTATAATTTCATTAAAATAAAACAAAAAAGCAAACTTATATTAAGAAAAAGAGTATCAAATCAATTCAACTATAATGTGCAATGAATGTTTCTTACAGGATATACTCTGAAGACAGTGATGTGAAAGTTCAAGGTTTGCCTGTTGTGAGTATTGTACATGTAACTGTAAGGATAAGTTTATAGCATCCCAAGTACTCCAATATCTACATGTATATCAATGTATAAAAGAATCCTGTGTAAAGTAAAACTGTATACAGGGTTATTTTCAATCCGGGTAATTTTCGCCCTTTTGCACTTGCAAACAATTTTGCCCCATTCTTAATTCGCCCAGTCAACATGTCTGTTTAAGAAATTATGCTGTGTAATTTGAATTCGTCCTGTTTTAAATTCGCTCAATCAGGAAGAGGGCAAAAGGGGCGAAAATAAAATGGGGGCAAAAATTTCCCTGTATACAGTATATATTTAGCAAGAGAGAGAGAGATGTTGATAAAAAGGGTCAATATAATTTAAATTCATGCATCTGTGATTTTTGTTTTTGAAAATGATCTTCCATATGTATGCGCATGATACTGTACTAAATGCACAAAAATTATAATTTCATTAAAATAAAACAAAAAAGCAAACTTATATTAAGAAAAAGAGTATCAAATCAATTCAACTATAATGTGCAATGAATGTTTCTTACAGGATATACTCTGAAGACAGTGATGTGAAAGTTCAAGGTTTGCCTGTTGTGAGTATTGTACATGTAACTGTAAGGATAAGTTTATAGCATCCCAAGTACTCCAATATCTACATGTATATCAATGTATTAAAGAATCCTGTGTAAAGTAAAACTGTATACAGGGTTATTTTCAATCCGGGTAATTTTCGCCCTTTTGCACTTGCAAACAATTTTGCCCCATTCTTAATTCGCCCAGTCAACATGTCTGTTTAAGAAATTATGCTGTGTAATTTGAATTCGTCCTGTTTTAAATTCGCTCAATCAGGAAGAGGGCAAAAGGGGCGAAAATAAAATGGGGGCAAAAATTTCCCTGTATACAGTATATATTTAGCAAGAGAGAGAGAGATGTTGATAAAAAGGGTCAATATAATTTAAATTCATGCATCTGTGATTTTTGTTTTTGAAAATGATCTTCCATATGTATGCGCATGATACTGTACTAAATGCACAAAAATTATAATTTCATTAAAATAAAACAAAAAAGCAAACTTATATTAAGAAAAAGAGTATCAAATCAATTCAACTATAATGTGCAATGAATGTTTCTTACAGGATATACTCTGAAGACAGTGATGTGAAAGTTCAAGGTTTGCCTGTTGTGAGTATTGTACATGTAACTGTAAGGATAAGTTTATAGCATCCCAAGTACTCCAATATCTACATGTATATCAATGTATTAAAGAATCCTGTGTAAAGTAAAACTGTATACAGGGTTATTTTCAATCCGGGTAATTTTCGCCCTTTTGCACTTGCAAACAATTTTGCCCCATTCTTAATTCGCCCAGTCAACATGTCTGTTTAAGAAATTATGCTGTGTAATTTGAATTCGTCCTGTTTTAAATTCGCTCAATCAGGAAGAGGGCAAAAGGGGCGAAAATAAAATGGGGGCAAAAATTTCCCTGTATACAGTATATATTTAGCAAGAGAGAGAGAGATGTTGATAAAAAGGGTCAATATAATTTAAATTCATGCATCTGTGATTTTTGTTTTTGTTTAATTCTCAAAAGATTTAATCACATTCTGTTCTATTTCAGCAGATACTTCTATAATAAAGAATGGGTAAAAAAAATTCTCACATCATGCTGCAAAACAGTGCATGTAAGTTCAAAGGCAGAAGAAAATCCATTGAATGAGACTTTATAAACACAGTTCAATGGTTGTATATTTCAGCAAACAATTTAATGAACTGAAAATTATGCCGATACATAAATCAGCATATCATGCAAACTTTAAATGGTTACACATTTCTCTGATTTGCATGTAGTGCAATGATATTTGTCAATATTTTTCATTCAGTTTTTTTAGCTCAGCTGAGCCGAAGGCTCAAGTGAGCTTTTCTGATCATATTTTGTCCGTCATCCATCTGTCCATCCGTCTGTAAACTTTTCACATTTTCAACTTCTTCTCAAGAACCACTGGGCCAATATTAACCAAACTTGGTGCGAATCATCCTTGGGTAAAGGGAAATTTAAATTGTTAGAATGAAGGGCCAGGTCCTCTCACATGGGAGGATAATGAAGAAAAGACAGAAATAGGGTGGGGTCATTAAAAAATCTTCTCAAGAACTACTGGGCCAGAAAAGCTGACAATTATTTGGAAGCATTATGAGGTAATCTTAATTCTAAATTATTCAAATCATGACCCCCGGGGATTGGGCAGGGCCACAATAGGGAATCAAAGTTTTATATAGAAATATATAGGAAAAATCTTTAAAAATATTCTTCTCAAAAGCTACAGGGCCAGAAAAGCTGAAACATATGTGGATTGATTGATTGATTGATTGATTGTATATTGTTTAACGTCCCTCTCGAGAATTTTTCACTCAAACATATGTGGAAGCATCCTGGGGTAGAGTAGATATTCTAAATTGTTAAAATTTGACCTTCGGGGTATGATGGGGTCATAATAGGTATTACAAGGGGGGAAATCTTGTTAAGAATAGCATGGTACAAGCTTCTCAGGTGAGGGATGTGGCCCATGGGCCTCTTGTTCTTCACATAATTGCACATGCATGTATTCTATTTGAATTATTTAAATTTAGAGGATTGTATTAATTTATTAATCATATTTGTAGTTCAGCTGTAACAAAACAAATCATCAGATGAAAGCTTCAACCACAAGAAGGAAAGGATGTCAATTAAGTCCAAAGAGAAGGTATGTTGATAACTGGTGATGATATGTTATTGATGTACTTTAATAGAGTACAACAATAAAATACATAGAACAATATTAACCTGTAGACCAAAAAATAAATCTTAATTCTTTTCAAGAACAGGTAGGTCATGATTAGTCTGAGATAGTTCAGAGCAGATTAAGATTTGTTCAGATCATATAGCTATAGGGTAGTGTGAGTCCACAGTGGGGGACCAAAGTTTGATTCTGGAATATATAAGGCTGAAACCTCTTATAAAATCTTTTCAAGATTATCAGGGCCATGATCCATAATATTTTTTTGAATGAATACATCTTAGTACAGAATCCCAGAATGAAGAGTAATGCATGTGCCATAATTAGAGACAGAATGTTTATCTTTGTCTTGTGTAAATATTGGAAAATGATTTTGTTTATTTCTTGGCTTTTAAGTTAAGTAGAGATTAAAAAAAAAGTTTTCATAATTTAAATTCCTTTTTAGGGAGACTAGTTAATATCGTTCAATCTTTCAATTAATCTTTAAATATAAAACTAGCTGCAACTTAGAATAGCTGCTTATGAATAATCTGCAGAGCTCACAAACTATATAGGTCAAAAAGCTACAATTTTTAGAGAGAAAGTAATATTTTTGGGTTATAGAAAAGGGGCATAACTCTCATCATGATAGTAAATGATGGATGATAATGTGAAAAATGTGGTGCTGTTGGAAAACAAGTGAATACACTGCAGTCTAAATAAGTACAGTTAAACAACTGTTTCTTAAAATCAAACAACTGTGACTACCTAGGGTGTGTTGACGTTCATGACAGTATTACAAATTGGATGAATTATTTGCAAACACTTTGAATTGCATATGATTTACTTTTGTAAATTTAACTTGCTCATTTTGTGCAGATCTCTTTCTCATGCAGATTATTAATGAACAATGATAGATTGAATAAGCAATTGTAAATGGCATATATGAATTTTACATACTTTGTTTAGAGTTGAACTTTGGTATATATCTTGAACACTGAGTGATATTTTGAACACATCGAGGTATCAAAGTCATTTTAAAGTCCCTTGAACAACATTTTTTTCCTATATATCCTACCCTGAATGTCTTGGATATCTCCGTTTTTCAGCAGTCCCATAAGCCTTTCAAGATAACGAGTGGGACTTTATTTAAATGATTCAGTTAATTTATGATGAATTATAGATATATCAATTATATACTTTTATGTTAATGTATTAACATTTTATATTTTTCAGGCCATATAACAAATGGTTGCTGAATTCATGAAGACTGGGATGATATAGTACTTTTCTACTCTTATGAACCATAGCTATACATTATTTGAGGATCCCTTTCTAAGAAAAAGAAGAATTTGCATATTCAAAGACTCTATATAGTTTATTGTTTGTTTGTATGTTGTTTAATGTTCTTCTTGAGAATTTTTCACTCATATCGGGATGCCAACATTTGCTGGTGGAGAGCTGCAAATTTTGTCCTTTAGTGGCTTTACTTGGCACTCAGGGCTCATTGAGCAATGAGGGATCTTTTTAGTGCTAGCACCTACTGCAACACAGGACCTCTGCATATACAGTCTCATCTCTATGTCTGACAGGATTTCGAACCAGCAATTTAAGGATCAACTCCTTACTCATGACTCTCGACCAAAGGCTCTTGCCACTGCGCCACGCCGGCGACTTCATAGATTATAAAATAATAAGATGATAATATTTATAACTTAAAACTGGTGTTTTAAATTCAATCACAGTATAGAAAATGTTTGGAAAAAAGAGGGGTAATAGCTGGCTCTCACTGGTATCGCATGCTTAAGTATATGAATTAAATATTTTAATTACACATCTATTTTAATCCAGATCTCGACAGTAAAGAAAGAAACATTTGAATATTTTTACTATAAATTTTATTGTAAGGTTTATTATCTTTATAAAATGAAACTTTAATCTTTTTGAGTAGGAAGAAAAAAATAATTAGAATGTACATGTGCACTTAGTTTTGTTTATTAAAAAAATATTCAAAATTTGGAGATCTTGTGAAAGATATCTAAAGATTGTTTTATAAATTTTTACTTCATTTTTAAGCAGCGTAATTTCTATTATAACATATGCCCTGTAATATACATGTACAACTTATTTGTTGTTGAACATCCCATTGTCTGTCTACATGTAGTTCTTAGTAAATTTCTTGTAAATACAAATATGATCGCATGCTGTTTGTTTTTTACTTTGTCTTTTTTCAATGTGAGTCATGATATATAAATGGTGTGCATATCAGTTTAAATTATTTTTGTTGAATTCATTTAACCAAACAAAAAAAAAATAAGTAACTGAATATAATTATGTAGATAGATACCTTCTAGAAATATTTACATGTGCTAGTAGCAGCTGATATGTAGCTTATGTGAAATCAGGTATACTTGAAAATCAATTTACCTGTATTTATAAAAAAGAAATTTAGTTTACACATTCATATACATATGCAGTATTTCATACTGAAAATAGACTGTCTGTTAATGTTATACTTATTCAACATAAACATATAGATGAAATAAAACATTTTTTTTCTTTTTCCCACCAAATTAATCACAATTTAAATGTATATAAATTGATAAAAGAAACTGACTATACCATTAAAAATCTTGAGTTGTCTTTCCTTGTTTAAAGAAAATATCTGCTGCAATGAATGCTCCCTCGGGTTCATGACCCTGAATATTAATAAGGTTAGGAGGTGTGCAATGGTTCTTGAGAAGAAGATTTTTAAAGATTTTTCCTATATATTTCTATGTAATACTTTGATTCCCCATTGTGGCCCCGCCCAACCCCCGGGGGTCATGATTTGAACAATTTAGAATCTACACTACCCCATGATGCTTCCATATAAATTTCAGCATTTCTAGCCCAGTGGTTCTTGAGAAGAAGATTTTTAAAGATTTTTCCCATATATTTTTATGCAAAACTTTGATTCCCCATTGTGGCCCCGCCCAATCCCTGGGGGTCATAATTTGAACAATTTAAAATCTGCACTACCCCAGGATGCTTCCACATAAGTTTAAGCATTTCTGACCCAGTGGTTCTTGAGAAGAAGATTTTAAAAGATTTTCCTATATATTTCTATGTAAAACTTGCATTTCCCATTGGGGCCCCGCCCAACCCCTGGGGGTCATGATTTGAACAATTTAGAATGTACACTACCCCAAGATGCTTCCACATAAGTTTCAGCTTTTCTGGCCCAGTGGTTCTTGAGAAGAAGATTTTCAAAGATTTTTCCCATATATTTTTATGTTCAACTTTGATTCCCCATTGTGGCCCCGCCCAACCCTCAGGGGTCATGATTTTAACAATTTAGAATCTACACTACCCCAGGATGCTTTCACATGTCTCAGCTTTTCTGGCCCAGTGGTTCTTGAGAAGAAGATTTTTTAATGACCCCACCCTATTTTTGTCTTTTCTTGATTATCTCCCCTTGTGAGGGGACTTGGCCCTTCATTTTATTAATTTACATTCCCCTTCACCCAAGGATGCTTTGTACCAAGTTTGGTCAAAATTGGCCCAGTGGTTCTTGAGAAGAAGTCAAAAATGTGAAAAGTTTACAGACGGACAGACAGACTGACGGACGGACAAAATGTGATCAGAAAAGCTCATTTGAGCCTTCGGCTCAGGTGAGCTAAAAACAGATCTAATTGATTTTGTCATATATTCCCTCCCTGGGTTTTTTATACCCATTTCAGTCACTCTCTGTATTAAAGGTACTTGGACACAGATTTGAAGTTGATATTTTCTGTATAATATCACGAATTATATATTTTAATAGCATTTCACACAAAAATTAATTAAATATCTTATTTCATTTAAAAGTTATTAAAACTTCAAATTTTTTGGCGGGTTTGATTGACACATCCTTGCACTTTCACAGATTTTAACTTTATTCTTAATCCTTCAGAAAAGTGGCAATCTTGTTGTGTATTAATGAGAAATATTAAAACTTTAATCCAGAAAATTAATTTTATTTAGAGTAGAAATGTTAGAAAGCAAAACTCCTTCACAAGTATCGTCATTCCAAGCTAAGTCCTGTGTGCAAATCAATCACACTTGTGTTATGTACACAGTTTTTGTAAACAGGGCAAGAGCTTTGTTTTTGTTGATGTTTACGATTCACCGGGTGTGTTCAATTGTCAAAGTCGGCTCAACACAACTGCACGGACTGAGAATATATTGTGTATTCGTTTTGCTTTCGAACATGTCTACTCTGAATTTTCTGAATTATAGTATTAATATTTTTCATTCATACACAACAAGATTGCCACTTTTCCTAAGCATTAAGAGTAAAATCAAAATTTGTGAAAGTGCAAGGATGTGTCGATCAAACCCGCAAAAAAAATTGAAGTTATAATAACTTTTAAATGAAATAAGATTTTTAATTAATTTTTGTATGAAATGCTATTAAAATATATGTCGTAATATTATAGAGAAAAAATTAACTTCAAATCTGTGTCCAAGTACTTTTAAAGGCCAAAAATTTGAGTTTATAGTTTTAATACAGTAGTATAGAAAAAAAACTAGAACTGTCCAAATGGGACAAAATACCTCCCGCCGAGTTTTTCAGAAGTAAGTTTTTCCATAATAAAGATATGTATCACACATGAATTATGAAAGTTTTCTTCCAGTGACCTTGAACTTCCCCCAAATGACCTTGGGTCAAGGTCATGACACACCCTTGGGTCATGGGCAATCTTTGTGTGAAATGAGAACCTACCAAGTTTATCCATAAGAAAGATATGGACCGGACACGAATTATGAAATTTTCCATCCAGTGACCTTGAAGTTCCCCAAATGACCTTGGGTCAAGGTCAGGACACACCCTTGGTCACGGGCAATCTTTGTGTGAAATGTAATCCTACCAAATTTATCCATAAGAAAGATATGTATCACACATGAATTATGAAATTTTTCTTCCAGTGACCTTGAACTTCCCTAAATGACCTTGACTCAAGCTCATGACACACCCGTTGGTTATGAGCTATCTTTGAGTGAAATTAGAACCTACCAAGTTTATCCATAAGAAAGATATGGACCAGACACAAATTATCAAATTTTCTTCCAGTGACCTTGAACTTCCCAAATGACCTTGGGTCAAGGTCATGACACACCCTTAGGTCATGGGCAATCTTTGTGTGGAGTAGTAGATTCTAATGTTCTTCCATAAGAAAGATATGGACTGGACACGTTTGCACAGACAGACGGACAGACGGAGACAGACAGACGGACAAGGTGATTCTTATATACCCCCCCCCCCCAAACTTCGTTTGCAGGGGGGTATAATAAGAAATTTCTTGTTTCACATGTAATCAAGAAAATAATTGGATTGCTTACCTTGATCAATTTCTGTTTCATTTTTTACATCAAACATAAGTACTAAAGGCAGACATCCCTGACAAAAAGAAAGTATTTAAACATTTAGCATATTTTAAGCAACAAACGTACTGTTTAGCAGAAATTCTTGTGTGGATTCAATTTTGGCATTTTAACATGTTAAAGCAAGGTTGTAAAGATCACTAAAACTAAATATTGCTAATTATGTAAAACTTTGATCAGCCATTGTGGCCTCGCCCTACCCCCGAGGGTCTTGATATGAACAAAACTGAATCTACACTACCTGTGGATGCTTCCACATGAGTTACATCTTTCCTGGCCCAGTGGTTCTGGAGAAGAAGATTTTTAAAGATTTTTCCTATATATTCCTATGTAAAACTTTGATCAGCCATTGTGGCCTCGTCCTATCTCCGGGGGTCTTGATATGAACAAAACTGAATCTACACTAACTGTGGATACTTCCAGATGAGTTTCATCTTTCCTGGCCCAATGGTTCTGGAGAAGATTTTTAAAAGATGCCATTAATCTTTCATTAATTCATAATTATCTCCCCTTGGAAGAGGGATTGGCCCTTCATTTGAACAAACTTTAATCCCCTTCACCAAAGAATACTTTGTGGCAAGTTTGGTTGAAATTGGCCCAGTGGTTCTTGAGGAGAAGTCGAAAATGTGAAAAGTTAATGACGTTATCCGGTCAGGTGATCTAAAAATGAAAAAAAAACAAACCACCTGTTAAACACAGAAAAAAGATCCAATCATGATGAAAATACCAGGTGCACAACTTCATATGGTGAATAATAAATGTACAGATTTTCAGACAAATCTTTCCGAGAAACGGTCCGGACAAAATCTCTTCTCTAAACAGATGGACAGAAAAGCTGATTCCAATATCGAAACTGTCAAAATGTTAACCTGCTCCAAAAACATTAACCTGGTCATGGTACAATGAAACACACAAGAAGCATGTTACATGCATGTATGAGCAATATAGGATACTTTGTGACAAGTTTGGTTGAAATTAGTCCAGTAGTTCTTGAGAAGAGTTCAAGACGACAACAATGACGACAACAACAACAACAACGACAGACAATGGACAAATTCTAATCAGAAAAGCTTACAAAAAGTTTCTGCACATTGCACAAATGGCCAAAGCATTAGCTCTTTGAGCCTATGTTGACCTCTATGGCTCAGAAGAGGTAATAAAGATCAGATATAATCTGCTTTAAAGCTCATGATCAAACTTCTATAAATGAACATGAAGAATTTAAGCTTGCTCACAATAAGGTGTTGCCTGGCCTGGAACACACTCTCAATATTCCCAGTGATGTAAATTGTCCCTTTTCTCTGAGGTGCTGAAGTGTTTGGGTCAGGAAAGTGGATACTTGCTCCTGTCCTTTCCATAATTTGTTTAATATTTATACCACTTCTTCCAATAATGAATAAGTGATGTTGTGGTGCAATTTCCAACTGCATGCTGACTGCAAATTTCACCTTTTCAAAATTTAAACATTTAATAATAAAAGATTACCAACTTCAAAAAATAATTATTATTCAAGTAAAATACCTATATTACAACATAAACTTCTTACAGTATCAACATCATTATTCTTTATATGATGCAAAACTTAATAGGATTCATGCTTGATACAATAGGTAGAAAGCATGACATGATATGATACATGCACAGTACTGTGGGATACATTTGTACATGCACAATAAGAAAAATGCAAAACACATTAAACACACTTAAAACAGAGTAACATGAAACATATGGAGATAACCACCACCCCTGCGAAATGATATTCATGATTTTAAGAACCTTTATGAGTTGTTCATAATTGTTCATGAATGGTTCTTAAAGGATTCTTAACAGGTTCATAAAAGTTGTTCATGAATAAAATTCATGAAAACATTCATAATTCATAGTTCATGAACAAATGATGAACAAATATGAATATTGTTAATTTTCAGTTTAAAGAAAAAAACTTAATAGTTCAAGGTAATGAATGTTCATGAATTTTCATGAAGACTAAAAATGTAAAAATAATTGTCACAAACATTCTCCAGAAAACACTCATTACTCCCATAATACAACTTTTGCATGCAGATGCAATTGTTGAACAAACCCCTGATTTAATTAATGACATGCTTTTGTTTTGATTTTGAAAGTATTGGATCAGAGACAAGTAGGAGAACATAAGAGGTTAAAATCACTATTTTCTACTCTCCGAATCGGTAACTTAGATTCTTCAGGATAATAAAACTCTGTTATGTACTGTCTAGAAGGGAGATTGTAATTAAATTATGATCGTAATTTAAAGAACACTGCATCAATATTGATAGCATTATTTTCTCATATTGAATTACTAATGTTTCTTCATCATTTAAAATGGCCAGCTATATTAATAGTGTGCTTTAAATTATCTCATTTTTCACGACACAACTTTGTTCGACCGAATTTTCTCTATTTGTCAAACTTTTAACAAGTTGTGAGAAAATGAAACAGACTTATAGTCTAGGAAAAATTTCATGATCTTCGTAAAAACGTATCTTAGATTCATTTACAGCTAAAAAATCATATCTCATGTCCGTACTATTCTTGGGTCAAACGCTTTATATTTTGATGCAGTCATCAAGTCACATTTTTCTGTCCATCGTGTGTAAATGATACAGCACAGGCTGCATGGTTGTGAAGTATCTATGACATGACCCACATTCGTATTTTGTAGTCTATTCTCCTAGACACTATATACCTGTACATAGCTCAGGGTACTCTGTTTGAGGGCGAGTGGTTCCCAAGATTTATTTGTTGTCCTCATGATATGGAGGCGGCCATACTTGAAAATACGAAACTGTGGCTCTTTAGGTATAATGTAAGAAATCCAATTCAATAAATGATTTAACTTATATTAATTTAAAAAAATTAATTTCAGTGAAAAAGCATTCAGATATTGTTTGTTATTTTTTGTTTAACAACAATCTTGGAAATTCGAAACTATTTCTTAATAAGCTCTGCATGACACTTTTTAAAAGGCGCAAACTTTGAAACGCGCGAGACGTTGGAAATTGAATCGGTAGAGTGGGAGGATTATTAGCGTAGATCTAGTCATTCTTTGTCAACCTTTGAAGAAAATAACAGAATAATGAAGAAGGAATATCCAGAGGATCAATTTACTTAATAACTGCAGATATTAATGGTGAGTTACAAAAAAATGGAGGCAATCGCTGAATCTGAGATATTTGTCAAGATGTTACTGTCTATTTGTAAGAGTTCAGTTATGTCTTTTTTAATGAAAATTTTGTCAAACTGTGTCATGAGTAAGGATCCAACCAAATTACGTTACATTTAAGAATTAAAGATTGAAAATTCATCCTGTTCACCTATAACATCTTGAACATGGCGGGCAAGGGAAACAGGCTAAACAGTGCCTATGATGCAGAATTAAATGAAACAAATTTGCAAAAAAAAAAAAATTAAGTCTTAAGTTTTCACATTTATGAGCATTTTCAGAAAATCTTTGTTCTTGTAGGGAAAAGAGAAGCAGTTCACAGATAATGTTGATGAGTTGAGATCAGAAGATTAAAAAAAACTCTGGCTGCCAAAAAAAAAAAATCCAGGATCTTGAAGAAAAACAAAAGAAAGGAATGAAAATATGAATCGTAATCGATCAAAGTATCCAAGTGATGAAATTCTGAAAATTCCACAGGGAAAGCCAATAAGATTTTTTTTATTTGACCACCTCTTCTCAAAATCCTTGAAAGCCCTTTTAGCTGATGCCCTAATTGCTGAACACACTTTTCTGCCAGACTGTGAGACTTGGATTAAAAACCATTCCATTTTAAGCATACACTTTGAAATACGCTGAATAAGGAACCCACACTCCTCTTGACCAAGTAAGGTTAAGGATTCTGCAAAGAGTCGCGTTTGAATTAAAATTTTTCATAATTTTACTAGGAATGAACTACATTATTTATTATCGATATCACTTATCAGAGTTGTTTACTTGAACAAAGATTTTGTTACGATGATTGGAAAACAAAAATTCTGTGAAATCTTTCAAGATGCTATTAAAATATTTTCTTTTACAGTTTTTCATTTTGCATAATTTATAACATTTTTGTTTACAAAAAGCAAGAACATTCATGAATAGTTCATGAACATTCCTAAATAACTTTTACAAATTATTCATGATTAGTTCATGAAAATGCATTGAACCTATTAATATCATTCATGAAGTTTTCTTGAAAGTTCAAAAATATAATTCATGAAGTTTTCTTGAAAGTTCAAGAATTATTCTTGATCATTTTGCAGGCAATTAAAAAATCCAAGTTTGTTCATGAACAACAAATAATTCATGAATATTCTTGAACTTGGTTTTCATGAATAAAATCCATGAAATCATGAGTGTCCAATTTTAACTTCATGGGATCTTCATGAACAATTCATGAGCTGATTCAAGAATATAATTCATGAACTTTTCTTCAAAGTTCAAGAATTATTCTTGATCATTTCGCAGGGGTAGTATTCAAGATCAAAAGTCACCATCAGTATTCAAGATCAAAAGTCCACAAAACAATACAAAATAGGGATAGAGCAAACACTGATCTCCAAAAAATTGGAGGTGGTATCAGGTGCCATGGAGGAGTGATCATTCAGTGTATAAATAATGGATTAACAATTAATATGAAAAACGTCAGACAGCATTTGACTCAATGACAAATTGTATTTGCTGACATTTAGGTCTTGTATCGACCATAGAACTTACGAAATGATGACTATAAATGAGACATCTGAAATTCTTGTTTCATCAACTTGTTTGTCAATAATTTACCTCGTTTCAGAAATTGATCAGATTGTTGAGCATGTTCTTGCGTATCACTGAGATATATTAAAGTCTGTATGCAATTAATAGAAAAGTTAAAGTCATCACGTTTATCATAGAGCTTGGTTGTTAGATTACCATGCATTAACATCTTTTTCAAGTAAAATATCCAAATATAAAAACAGATGTGTCAGACTCTGTAAAATATGCTAGACTTGAAAAACGATATCACAAGATAACTGCAAAACCTTATTGGATTCTTTCAAAATGACAAATGTTTTAGACAAAAACAAACTTTTTCCTTTTTTGAAATAAATTTACTGTACTCCGTATAATCCCTATAAGCTGCCATTGCCCCTATAAGGACCCCCTAGGTCTTTTTCAATTGTCAGGAAATAAGGGCTCCCTGTTCAGTGATTAAAATCATCTAGAATCGTATCAACAGTATGCCAAAATTTGAAAAAAGTACAAATAAAACTTGACTAATATCCATTTTTCCAGTGGAAAATGAATCATTTTAGTATAATTTGGGTGGATTATCTTCACTTAAATAAAGTTAGACATTATTTTAGTGGTTTTTTGAATTTATTATTTTTTTTTTTTTCAAAATATTTTTTGAAGTTAAAATATGTCACAAATTATAATAAGAATACTAGAAAACTGAAACGATCTTGTTGCGAGCAACAAAAGGTCTTCCGTCCGATTCTGGAAGAAAAACCTATAATCGAGCTGAAAACTTGATTTAAAAAATTTGGTCACAAGGGGAATTGAACTCAGGTCACCAGTGTGAAAATCCAACATGCTTTTTTTTATTCCCAACGTGTTAATCATTACGCTATTGCGACCACTGCTCTCAATGTACTTGATGTATATACTTTTGCAACAGAACACCTGTAGAACAATTTTGAAAGGCGGGCCACTATTCATAATTTCGCGCCAAAAGCCACAAGTAAATCTTCGCGCCTTTCTTTGGAATGTTCATTAAATAGGTGTGGTAGCTTTAATGAAATTAAGAAAAAAAGAAAGTTCTGGTATCACAGATTTCGAGGTTTAGAAAGTATATTTAACACAATGAACACATTCTATATCATATATATGTAAATAAAGCTATAGCAGTGAAAAGGCAATAATTTTGAACTTTTTAAAAAATTTCCCTAAAATCAACTATCCTCATTATTTACACTTTCATGAAATGGTTCGCCGAAAAGCATGATTCGCCCTACGACGATCAAGGAATCAGATACCATTTATGTTCAATAACTTGAATAAGAATGTTAATATAAACTCCATTAAATGATATTTTAAAAAATATTTTTCTTATTTTTGTCTTTTCTATTAGTTTAATATGACACAAGTGTGCATGGAAACAATGGTGGTTATGTTTTATACTTACTATATACATCAATATTGTTTCTTTTAAAAAACTATTACTAACTTATAACTATGATTTAAGTTTCTGGCTTTGGTATAGAATTTTTCAAGATTTTTTAAACAGGTTTAATGATACCAGACATGTTCAATTCCGGTCCTTTTTACCCATCAAGCCAGCCTTTCTTTATAGATTTTGTCAAATCAATGTTTTTACAATTTTCAATGCATTTCCTATGTAAAATGTTGATAAAATGGGCCTATATTATTTTTAACAATACGTTTTCTCCAAAACCCATTTATTTCATAAGGTTTATACATAAAATACATTGTTGAAACCTTATTTCCGATGACATGCATATACTTTGGACGAAAATACAAATATTGAAACAAAACACAGAAATACCTGCACTGTTCTTTAATTTTGAGTTACTTCCCTTAACATCTACCGTAATTTTCGGATAATAGGTCGATACTTTTTTTCTCAGAACCGCTGGGGTCGCCCAATATACGAATTCGACCTTTCTAAGGCTCAAGTTTACGAAAAATGCCCCAAAATCAATAAAATTTACGTCAATTTCAAAGCAAATCTGTGCCACTTTCATAACTTTTTTCATTATTTTACGCAGAAAAATTAATGCCCAGGTAAACAATAAAATATTTATTCTATAGCTTTCTTACAAAATAAATTCCATTAATTATCCGTTGATGACAAAGGAAAACAACATTGCTTCATCTATTAAATATACTGAAAGGAAAAAGAAACGCATATTTTACTTTTAAATTAAATTAAAACTACTATTTCGAAAATGTTTTCCAGTATTGTTATCAAACATTTTAATTCATCTTTAATCTACAAGTTACCAAAATCTTGTGTGACTTTGACTGATAATTCCTGAGTTATTGAAATTGATATGTCGATACCCCCCAAAATTAAAATAAAAATTCTCATAATCTCCCTTGCACATTGGTAACAGCCTTGATTTTCCTGTGCATTGAGTTTACCAGAGCATTTATCTTTCTCATTTGATTATTATTCAACTCTTCCGACAATAGTCTTAGTGGTTGATAGAAGCTGTATTATTCCAAAGCCAACAAATTCCCCCGCCAAATGAGTGCCACGAATTTTCATTTTAGGATAGAATTTACAGAATCCAGCTAGTTTGGTACACGTGAATGTTTGTGAGAAAGTCTCGACAAACACTGGCTACATTTTCCCAGTTTGAACATGCTAAAAACATTACGCACACGACGTGTACGTGCGCGTGTGAGAGTAAAATCGACGTAAAAGTTGCCAAGCTCGCGGACCAAATTAGAGCAGAGAATTTCTGTCAATTTTAGGGTGAAAATATTGGTATGATAGTTTGCTGTATAAATATCGGTTTCAGTGATAATACCTTGACAACAACCGAGGTGACATGATGAAAAGCCCTGTCTTGATGTGACGTTGTTACGCGTCAACGTCACCGCCATGGTTGGTTGGAAACCTTTTAATTTACTCTCTGACAACTGAAAAACCCTTCCTTGTTGAAAAGTTTAAAACAAACTGCACAGCAACATCTGGTTGCCTTTTATTCACTTACGCAATTCAATTACTGGAACCATTGTAACTTTCGTCAGCCATACCATGATTGCACGAAATTTATACTGATTTCAAATGCGGAAAACGATGTCTATAACTCCAATGCATCGATTAGCACCACAAAATGTGATCATAAAATTGTCATCATCAACATGCACGTGTTTTTGGCTTTTTATCATTTCCCCTACGTGACGCCATACATTTCATGGTTGAGTAATTTTGACCAGCAATTTTAGTGCACAGTAATCAAAATACACATTTGACCAATTTTCATAATTTTCGGCCATATAGTTAAATATATTTCGCTATTATGCTATTATGCGTTTCTTTTTCCTTTCAGTATAATTCCTCAACGTATTATCCATTAACATCATGCGGTATCCATCTTGTGAAGTTAGGAAGTCGCTACCGTTTACTAAAAGTAAAACCGCAACCGTATCAAAATTTAAAATACGGAAAAATTTTCAAGATCACAACTGTAGTGTTCTTACCATTTATTAGTAGCGATAAATTGAAATAGTATACTAAATATTTTTTATTGTCTTAAGCAAAGAATTAGCAATAAATACGGGTGACAGAAATATAATTTACATTGAATTACTGGCATACAAAGATTGGCTTCTAACAGAATTTTAATTGTCTGAAAGATAAAGGGATTTACACTGTGTACACAAAGGTGTAACACCTGTGTTCAGTTGGTTTAAATGCCTGCAGGGCATGATTATAACAAACCCACGTGCCGTTATAGGGTATTAGTGTTACACATCATTGAACAAACAAAGCCGTGAAATTCATGTTGACAGTCAAATTGTGAATGTACTCTCAATTAAATTTACAAATTAAACTTATTAGAGTGTTAATATGATTTCAATTCTTTACTGTTGCTTGATATATACATTCAATGGTCATTTGCGTGTTTTAGCGAATCCCTGGAGAAGAAAAATAAA